CACAGGCAGTATTTAAGCTTTTGAGATTGTAGTCAGTTGCTCCCAGTTGTTACAGAAGAAAACAACTGAATAACACACCATGGCAATAGTCTAAATGTAGCAAAATAAGAGGAAAAATTTTTGCACCTGCACCATGTTGAAACCATGATGTTCATGATGAACAAAAGTTAATTAGAACAAATCAGAACTGACGTAACAGAGTCTCAACAACATGCTGCATTTCTAGTAAATACATTGAAACCGCAGCTTCTCAATCACTGGCCATGTTTTCATGGGTTTTTTGAAATATCGCATAAGAAAAGGTTGATAGAGATGTTAAGATTCAAATATCTATCAGTTTCTCAAAAAGGGTTTTAAACTTTTAGGGGTTTTTTTCTTAAAAGTTATTAATGCGCTAAAAGGAAATGGAAATGCATTTGCCAAATAATTTCTGACGTAGCAAATGTTCCCATCCACCGTTTAATCTGTGCCTTACCACAGGCATGAAACTTTGAAAAACGTCCTAGTCCAAACCTTCACTCAATTTTTAGAAGTTGTGTGGTCTCTACATTTTGTTTATTATAGCTGTACGTGATGTCAACATGTGATAATGTTTGCAAACCCTTTCGATTACTTACCCTGGGATTGAGCCGTGCCGGTCAGAGCTGCCACGTTCTTGGGCAGAGGTTTTGGCAACTTCTTTTTTAGTTCTGCCATGAAGTTGTGATTTGTGTGTCCCATCATTTTTCCCTTCTTGTCCTTCACTGGCCCTCCACCTTTCATAGATTTGAACTGATCGGTATCTCTCGCAGAGTCCTGTTGATCTGGAGGTCCGGTCGCTTCTGAAAGGTTTTCTTACATAAAGGACACTGGAAAACCTGGAAGAAGACGATGGAATAGGTGAAAAGATGTCCAGGAGAAAGAGATCGAATCAGAAACGCCAGCAGACAAATGAATAGGTAATGAAGATGGAAGAAAGATCGTACAGTTGAAACATAGCCTTGTGACTGTTGTACCTCCAGTCATGAAGGGCTGACAGCAGGAAGCTGGTATTTAACTATTTGATTCAACAAAGGTAGAGTTAAAGCAGCTCTACCTTTGACAAGAAAATTTAAAGAGCAAAAATGAAGAAACAAAAGACGATTGAAGGGAGCTTCAACAATCACTCACCTGAGATCCATCCCAGTATGTGGTGATGCAGGCCATGCAGAAACTGTGGCCACATGGTATGGATGAAGGATTGGTGAACACATCCAGGCATATAGAGCATGTGAACTGGTCTTCAGTCAAAAAACTGCCATTTAAAGACATCCTGAAAACAAAACTAAAGGACAGGCATGAATTAGACAGAATATTCTAGAAAGCAGAAGGTCAGTCGTTTTGACCTTAGGACACTCCAACCACCTTGTCTGCTGGTGATGGTCAGAAAGTCAGCAGTGGCTTCCACCATCACCAGGTGAATGTTTTCATGAATGACTTCATGTATTGTGAACCACTTTGGAGTTTTGAAGTCAACATGAAACAATTCTGTAAGAAACTTCTTAATGTTAACCCTAAAGCCTTGAATGACTTTCCCCCTACATTGACACAGATGCATAAGACGGGCCGTTGTAGCTGCCGTTATACTATGACAATTCCTAATCCCTAAAAATCTGATTAGGGAAAATTAAGGGTTCATAGAAAAAAATCTAAACATAGTGAAGCATGGCATACTGGAGGTTTGTTCCAAACATTTATCTCAGATCAGATTAGGATGTTCAAAAAACCTCCAGGAATGAAGTGGGGTTGGATTCTCTCCCTCATTTTCACGTACACTTAGTTCAAATACACATACAGGTACCAGATCATTAAGGCATGAATGCTGCAACCTGCCAATATTTTTCTATTACATAAAATATTTTCAGATTCATCTGCTGTTCGGATTTGGTGTTTTGGACTAAAATGTATAACTGCTATTGGAGAAGGAGAGGGAGGAAGCACACATAGAGTCTTGAACATAATTGAAGGGCAAAACAATATAAAACAAATTCTAAACTAAATATTTTTTATATCCTCAGTTATTGAAGCAATTGGTGTGAACCCTTAAGTGTTGTTTGACCTTTTCCCTACATATGCATTGGCACAGATCTCTTGACAATTACTGGTTAATGAACCCAGGTTTCCGTTTTGGACAGACAATGTTCCTTCCTTACTAAAGATCTCTTATTTAAATGCCAAATCTTTACTGACTTCAAAAGCAACCCTCCTTCCAGTGTTTGATATTTGATTATGTCCAATAAAACTTCTCTTTACTTGTAAAGTATGTTCTCCTTTGCTAAAGAAGGCGATAAACAAGTAGTATTGTGAAAAGAATCCATACATTTCTAATTATTTGAGGTAGTCCTGTGTCTCTATCACCAGTAGGGATTAAAAAATTGGTTAAAAGTTTGTCAAGCTCAAATAAAAAAAACATAAGAAGAACAGTTCTTATGGTGCTTCGTTGTAACCTCAGACTTTAGTAATAACGTCGGTAATAATAAAGACAGAAATTATTATGCTTAAGCATGTTTCAAAAATAAAACTCAATAAATGTTACAAATTTTCCCAAACAGAGTCATGTAGTCACATCAGAGAATATTAACCTTTCATAAACCATAATACAGGCAAACAGAGCTAAACACAAACTGGGCGTCCAGATAATTCACTTCTTACACTGTAAAAACACAAAATCTTACCAAGGAATTCTGGTCTAGTTTTTAATGCAAATATTTTAGCACACTTGAAATAAAACTGACTTTTAAGTAAATTTTCAGGCTTGTTTTAAGTCAATAATCCATAATATTGATGAAAATGTTCTAGTTCGATTGGCAGATAAAGACATTTTTTGCATGTTTTAGGTAAAATAATCTCACAGTGGAAAAAGTTATTTTTCATCAGTATTAAGAAATTATTGACTCTAAGCTCCTAAATTTTGTTGTGAATTTGCGTTTATGTAAGTTTTGTATTTTTAATTAAAAAAAACTTTTATAATCCCCACGAAATAACACAATGTGACACATTACTTATATGCTGTCGAAACATATTAATTTTACCTACTTCAGAATAACAAGCAGATACCTTAAGCTGTAAGTCCAAAGCCCTGCAGAGACGCTTGAGGCCCGTACCTTCTGTGCTCGCAGCAGTTGAGGTTGTCTGGGATTTAAACTTCCTCAAATCTTGCGTGTGGGCGTACCTGATTGAGGGCGGTGGTGTTTCGTTCCAAAGCCACTCCCACTCACCTGTCTCTCATTTTAGCAGGTAAAAGTGGCAGGACTGGTTAAGCTAAAAGGAACACACTCAGATATGCTGCAGAGTAGGTCAAAAGTCAACAGATCCAATCCTGAAGCTGTGTTTCAGGAGATGTTCAGCTGCATTTCTCACGGGTAAAGTATTTCCTGGAACCGAGCATAAACAAAGACTTGCCAAACATCATTACAACAACCCTTTGATAGATAGTTTGAGTTGCTCATTAAGATGGAGATTAGCTGGAAATGGAAAAGTATGCATAGTCCTAAAACTGCAACATGGTTCTGTGAAATGGCTGCCTGCATTGCTTTGGAGAAATGAACAAGACCAGTGAAGTTAAAGAAATATGGGACACCTTCATGCAATTTTTGAAAGCAACCAAGCTGAAATGAAAATAAAATAATAAATAAAAGAACAGCACCTAAGATTATCAAGAGAGTGACACTTTATCTAGGCACTAGATTGAAACTTTATTTTATTTATCTGTATACTTATACATATATTTAGTTACTGTACAGGCAAATATACTTTTTTTCCTTTATTTAAATGGTTTTTTCCTTATTACCAATGCTGTTATTTTTTTGTTGTCCCTTTTTAGTACAATCTTGGTTTGTTTTAAGTTATACCCCGAGGGTTTGTTGTGGGTGTTTGAATGTATATTTTTATATATGCAAAAATTTAATATATAAATTGTTTTTAAAAAATGAACTCTGCCATTATTTTTAACCTGGGCACTTATGGGGGCCGTAGCTCAGGGCCCCCATTTTCACAGATTTTTCCATCATTAGTTGGTGTTATCAGTTCATACCTAGTTATGTATGATACTTTCTATTAATTATTGCATTAGCAAAATATTTTTTCTCTAGGGGACAGAACAGTCCCAGGGCTCATGTCCTTGTAGACCTGGTCCTGTTTCTAAGCCTAAGAGATTATAAGCTGTTAGAGGTATAATCTGAAAACACAGTAGTAATGATGAAAATACAACTAATAAAAAATAGAAGTCAATTTAGTCCATAAATTAAGTCATAAACATGAAATAACCCAGGGACTAAATACTGGCCAAAATCACAAAAATTTATTAATTTCTTGGTGAAAAAGCTTTTTTCTTCATTCATGCCTCTTGAATGAAGTCGGTGTTGGTGAGGTGTGATTTTGGCACATTCTTTCATGCCAACTGCCTTCAAATATTGAAGGTTCTGGGTAAACAAACAAGATGAGTATTCCAGTAGTTTGACATTCTTTCTCTGAAACCAATTAAGAGTTTCTTGTACTCTGTTGTTTTACTTAGAAATTATCATTAGATTCTTTTCAAGAATGTTGTGGTGCTTTTTCCATTCATCCTCTCTTGGTTTCTGTGAAGAGAGGATGAATGCTGTATGAAAGCCAACTCTTGAATGTTCCGATCTGCAGACATAATATGACCATAATAAAGTTTCCCAGTATTTCTTTGGACTGTTCGAATTTCATTAATTTTATTTTATTTTATTTTTTTGTTTGAGGAGTGTAATATTTCGCAGTGAGAGTGCATTAACAACATTTTATATTGTTTTCATAGGAAAAACTTTAAAAGGATTGCAACAATAGACTTTATTTACAAAATATGTATTTAAAATAACATAGTAAAAAGAATTGCAGGCTGTTTACTTTTCTTAACAAAATTTAAACAAAAATATTTTCACATGGACGTAGCCATGTTGTTTACGGCGCAATGCATCCTGGGTAGATGACGTATGCTAGGTGCATCATGCTAGCTCCGACCAGGTAGAACAGAACCGTCATTTTTGCGCAGTAAGTAACGCTCAGCTTCTTCAATTTGAACCAGATCGCAATAGAGAAATATCAAGAGGAAATGAAAACGAGATGGACCGAACCAATAAAGAAAAAAGTCGGCCGGAAGTGCTAGTGTTTGAGCGGCTGCTGCTTGGACATGCCAACCGGAAATTAGTTCGTTTGCTGCAAAGATCGCAAAAAGCTTCGGTTTCCAAATCAAGCGGTTAACGGTAAGCTTCGCGACCAAAATGTTTTCTCAAATACATTGGAAAAGTGTCTTGCAAAGATTTATAGATGTTGCATTGTTATATTAGTTGATTTAATATCGCTTAGCTTGTGCTAATAGTGTTAGCTCCTGTTTACTGTAGTAAACAGTTGATCACAAACCGGTAACTTTTATTTATTTGTTTGTCGTGTCTTGTGTATAACGCCAATTGGAAACTTTGAGGTAGCTTGCCTGAATCCAGATGTTTTGTGGCCGCAGTTTTGACATCTTGTGTTTTAGTTTTAATTGTGCAGATGACAAAATAGCGACCTCTACATGAGCCAACAAAATGGCGACCTCTGTATGGTCTAACAAAATGGCGACCTCCATATGGTCCAACAAAATGGCGACCTCCGTATGGTCCAACAAAATGGCGACCTCTGTATGGTCCAGCAAAATGGCGACCTCCATATGGTCAAACTGTTAAGCATTCAATTTTTATTCGACTTCATCTTTACACCTGGCTGTGTTTAGTTTCACATCTGGAGCCCTGGAGTTGACTGATGTTTAATTAAACCAGAGTCACTGACCAAAACTCAGTCTTTTAATAAAAACTTGGGTTTTCATGTTTTGATCTGTTTGTGTCAGACTCTGAGAGGTCACCATCTTTACAAAACCTCTCCTACAGAGCATGTGCTCACCACTTCTCTTTGTTTTAGTTGTTTGTCTAAGGGCACGTGGATTTGTAGGGTTTCCCACAGTTGCTTTTAGGTGTTGACGTGACATCGTCACGCATCATGGAAGGTCTCTCAGACAAGCTGTACCAATGTTTTCCTGATTCTGTTTCTGATTAGTTGCACCTCTGGTTTTCCATGTAACAGTCTTCCACTCCCTTCCTGTTTTGTATTATATCTCTAGTTCAGTCAGACTGTAAGAAGAACTCATTTGAACTTTACTTCTCAACTCTTGTCACAGATTCTAAGTTGGATATATATCCAGGCTTTGACTTGACCATTCTATTTTTTATTTTTTTTCATTTGAGTTCTGGCTGTATGTTTACTGTTGTCCTGCTGGAAGGTTTATCCTCTCCAGGATTGTTTGGTAGTTAGCTCCTTCTATTTTACAAAAACCTCTGATCTGATTCCCTTTCCTGATGTAGAATAGCATCCCCAGAGCATGTCACGGCCACCGCCATGTTTTGCTGCTGCTTGGTGTGGTTGGTGTGATGTGATAATGAAGTTTGTGGTTGAATAGACCCAAAATGCAAAAACACTCAGGGAGTTTGAAAACTTTGTCAAGGCAGTTTAATCAAGGGGGAGCAATTAATAATGTAGAACAGGAGGTCCAACGTAGGGCGGTTCATCCAGATAAAAATTTTAGTTACATTTTAAAAGGTTTAAAACTAAAAATATGTACTTTTGAACTAAAATGCAAGATAATCCTCTTTTATGAATATTTTATCAGTTTTTATCAGGACAAATACTCCTATTTGTTTGTACCAAATAGGATTACAAACATCCAGTGAGTTTCACTCAAAGCAGACTTGCACATATTTAAACTGAGTGCACATATTTAGTAAACATAACTAAATAATGCGGGACTTTCTTGAAATTGACCCACATTCACATTTTTTTATGACTACTAACATAAAATCTAGACAGAGAAAACATCAGCTGAAAAATCTAGGACACTGCATGATGTTTTTGTTTCTTATTGTTTTTCCTAACAAGATAAACCTGCAGGACGGAAATGAGTTATGAGTCCATTTGTACAGACTTTATTGTTCATTTAAAATCCCAGGTTTAGTTTAAATTATTTTTTAATGATGCATAATTTTAAAAAAATGGTTTGCAATAAAATAGGTAATGTATTTTTAATTTAACAAACAAAAAACATGTGTCATGGTTGGTGTTTGGGTGGAACCAAAAGAAGGCATCAGAGTTGAAGTGAAGAGTTTTAATTTGGACTTGGAAACAGAGTGAGCTAAAACAACAGAGCCCAGGCTACGTACCTCATGAACCTGAGTACAACAAGTTCATTGTTTGGCAGTGACTCACTAAGACAGAATGGACCTTGGGTAAATTTCCGCCGCTGTAAAAATATGTAATTATCTGCAGATCAGCCGTTCAGATTGCTGATAAATGACTCTTCGTTCTGGTAGACCGGCTGTTTTCAACCAGAACCGGTTTGATCACTCCTTCTGCTAACGCTGCATCACGATGACAATTAAAGTAATTAATTAAATGAATCAGCAAACCCAAACAGGAACTGCAGTTCATTTTCTCGCCACTTGTTGGCAGCAAAAACAAGCAGAAGATTTTTCTTCCGTATCTATGGCGTATCTGATTGATTTCCCCTAACTCTTTAATAAAACTTAATTATCAGATCAAAGCGAGTAAAGTAGAAGAGGGTTTAACTACAAAACAGTTTAAAACAATTAAACTGAGTTGAATTGAGCTGAACATTTTCTAAACAGTGTTGGTAAATGTTTTTTAAAAAATCAGTTTGAATCCATCAGAACATAGTTATTACAATTTCCCAACTTAAGCTTTATAAACTTTTGGTGGATTGTTGAGATAGGGCCTTAAATCAAATAAGGTAAATTGATGTGAGTACAACAATATGAGAAGTAATTGAAGGAAACATGATTTTATTTTGCAATAAAAAACACAAGTCTTTATTTGACATGAAACAGAGAGAAATTATATATAAACTTTCTATAAAACAGAAATATAACCCTTGGCTTAATGGCTCTGCTCCGATTTATTCAGAGAACATGATCCATTTTGGACTGTATTCAACCCAAATTTGTTATCTAAACATCACATTCTCTAACATCAGTTTAAAACTATGAAAATAAAATACCAAATAGTTTTGGCTTTATGTTAAAATGGCAGCTTTTGCACAGGTAAAACATAGACAAATAATACTAAACCGCTCATGAATTTGAATTGTATGTTTCTCTTCTGTAGAATCAGCTTTTTTTACACTCCTTCCATGACCTTTTTCCGGACGGGTGGCATGTAGTTGCTGCTGATGCTTCTGGCTCTCTTCATCTGGTACACCACCTCAGCTGCTTCGTCCGACAGACACTGCTCCAAAATGAGGGAACAAATGTGCATTTATGGGATATTTAAACTGCACGATTGTAAAACATTTGCTTTTAGTTACATTCATAGTTTTCTTAATCTAAATGCAATCAGGCACAACTAAATTTTACTGCATTTAATGTCTCAGTCAGGCAAACTTATCATGTTTGGCATGTTTTTTCTTCAGAGTTTAACTTTATTTTTCTATTATGGCTGAAACTAAAAGTGTTGGCTGGTGTTACGGTAAATGCAAAGGCACCTGAGAATCTGCTTTCATGTTGCCACAAATTGTGGTCATGGTTTCCATCCAGTTACCATAGATACTCTCTTCCTTTTGGATTGGCCTCAACCTACTGCAACGCAGACAGACAGGAAATAATCAATACACGTTTAACCCAGCAATTAAAATGAGCCAAGTCTTAAAACCCAACTTTAGCCTTTTAAAATGAATGGATTCATTCCCACACCAGTCTCCCTGCATTCTGATGGGATTCTAAGTCCTCTTCTTCTTCTCTTTTTTCTTGAAGGTGTTTCACCTCAAATTCAAAAGGATTCTTCAGTTCTGAACATGATTGGAACTGATGAAAATTATAAGTTGCAATCTTGGTAATAGCTGCTGGAAACATAACAAATGTTGCAGCTTTGGTCCCTAATTGAACCGAGTCGACCGGACTACTAGATGTCTGGTAAACATGTAGTGAGATGTGCAATGACAGCACTTGGAAAAATTCAAAATTTAATGGATTGATGTGAAAAACACTCAGTGAGATTCAATGGTTTTGATAGAAAGTGACCATGCTCGGATCTCAGAGAGGAAGTAGTTTCCTCACTACTTCCTGTCGGGCAGTGTTGGTAGTACCTGATGTGTTGCAGCAGGTCTTGTTGAGCTGCTAGCTGCCTCTGTGCTTCGGCCACGCGGCCGTCCATGGTTAAACTGGCGCACAGCTGAGCGCAGTGGACGGCCAGCACCGCCGTGTTGAGTCCTCCCAGGAGAATCTTACTTTAGACAAAACCGACCAAGTGAAGTCAATACCAAAGAATCTAAAAGACAAACCAGTTTGGTTTATTGGGTGATACTGGGAGTAAGCTGTGGTTTTGTTTTTAACCTGCTGGTGGTTACTGGCCGTTGTTCGGTAATGATGCGAGTGACTTTTTGCTGGTCTCTGCTCTTGAAGCTGAGCTGCAGCTGGAATGGAAGCGTGTTCCTCTGGAGACAATCTTGTAACCGAAACATCTCTTAGCAAAACACAACTTCTTTTTGTTTCTGTGCTCAAATGTTTTATTTCTGACTAACTCACATTCCATGTAATCTGGTTTCACAGCAAACTGGAAGGTGATCTCCAGTCCCTTTGTTACGTTTCCGATCTCTCTCACCAGCTTGTGATTGTTCTCGTCCTCATATGGGAAATATCTACAGGGAGAAGAAATGTTTTAGTTGTTTGAACTATTTCATATATCAATACACCAATAAGCCATAACATTTTGACCAATTATCAAGAAACAGAGGTGAGCGGATTGGTCCAAAATATTGATTATTTTGATACCAAGTTGAGATTGATCATGTAGTTTCAGATTTCCTCTTGAAATTATATTTTTTGGTGTGTGTTTGATTTCAGTCTCCACTCACACGCCGTCAGGAGCAAGCAGGGTTGCAGTTACACTTGTTGCTAACACGTTGTCTTCAGAAATGGACTGGATCTCTGTCGCCATGGTGCCGATGCTAACAATGTTCACCTGAGGGGGACAAAACATTAAGAGTTTAAAATGTATTTTTTATGAAGTCTTCACAATGGCAGTGTAGGGTTTATGGTCTCTGGATGAGTTGTGAGCAATGGTGCGACTCGATTAAAATTTTTAGTCAAGTTAATTATAATTTGTTAATCACAAATCATATACACTACCGTTCAAAAGTTTGGGGTTACATTGGAAAGTCACT